TGATTAACACATTACATTTAATGTGAATGTGTCTTCCTTGTCTGCTGCTCCATAGCTTCCTTGTGTCACCTGTGGCTAACAGCGATATACAATTGGACTAGTGGTCTCGTTATGCTGATGAAAACCTGATGGGGGGGGGGAGAAACCTTAATCAATATAGTAATGGCATTTGATTTTTATGGACCGTGTAAGAGCGTGTTGAGGCACTGGTATCAGTCATAATCTGAAGAAAAATGCTCCGTAGTAAATCTTGAATTCTTTGCTTTCTTTAATGTTAGGAGTTCATACATCTTTTACTGTTTCCTTACCACAGATAAGACAGGGGAGTTGGATTTTTCTACATTTCTAACCATGATGCACAGACAGATGCAGCAGGAAGATCCTAAGACTGAAATTCTGGAGGCTATGCGCATGACGGATAAACACAAGAAGGGCTACATTCTGGCCTCTGAGCTACGGGCCAAACTCACAGGCTTGGGAGAAAAGCTCACTGATAAAGAAGGTATAAATCATTTATCTTCTCAGTTTACATTGTTTTCATCAAAGCTAATCAAATGAAATGGGGGGGGAACTTGCTTATGTGTTTAAGTGTTATTTAACTGTGAATTATTTTTCAGTGGATGAGCTTTTTAAAGAGGCTAATGTTGGACGTGATGGACTTGTTTACTATGAGGAGTTCACCAGAATGGTCACACTTCCTACAGTTGACTACTAGTAAAGAAGAGCCGGTTGGCCCCTTACCCTGAATATTGCAATTATTTTACTAGCAAGAATGAGATATTTTTGTTCTGTGTATACATTGTATATAAAATAACAGCTGATTAAATTACAATAAAGACCACATATTTTGATATACAGCTTGATTCAAGTGTTCACCACTAGATGGCAATCATGAAGTAATCTGAATAAATGTGGCAGTGTTGATAAACACTTAGTCTGTCATGATATTCAGAATGTTATTTAATGGAGTTTGAAGATGGTTAAACAATGAATGAAATGTAAGCTGTTTGTTGTACACATTCATCTATTTTTACTCTATTTACAAAATACAAAACGGAAACCTATGAGACTCCATCCTTTCCCCAATCCAGTGCTTTCATGAACTCCTCTTCAGTGAAGGACAACAGCTTGGCCGCTTCAAAATGCATCTTTTAAAATAAAGCCATAAACATAAAATGTTTTTAAAAAGTGCAATTAGTGAGGTATCATATTACTGTAATTGGAAATGACAGATTCAAGTAATTGTGAAGAAACTGATTTCTTACCTTCTGTCGCTTTAAAATATCTATTAGCTTAAGTTGCTTTTTAAAACCCACAATGAGCTCAGCCTTTTGTCGTTCCAGTTTTCTGTTCTCAGCTTGTAATGTTTCAATCTTTTGTTGCTCCTGACTGGTTAAATCCTTAGGTCGGATACAAAAACAGAAGAGAAATGTGAAATTAACAAAAGTTCAATCTAAATCTGAAAAAATTCTGGAGTGTGCAAAAAGTTTTATTGCACAAAAAACTTCACTTGGTTTATTTCATGCTGGTTTATTTGAGATGACTTTACCTTACTGCTCTGTTTGAGTTTGTTGAGTTGTGTTTTAGTCCTTTCAACCTCCTCCAGAGCTCTATTCAACCGCACCTCTGTTGCACTGTGGGTACTGGCTGCCTGCTTGTGGGTCCTCTTCATGCTTTCCAACTCCTAGAGTGTATAGACACAGGAAAAAACCTATTATGCAGATTGTGTTTTCAGATGCAGATGTTCCAATTCAATATTTTGCTGTTTGTTCAAAAAGTTGAATCTTTAAAGCAGCAATAAATGCTTTTAACCTAAAACTACCCAAACATGAGATACTTTTAATAAGTCTAAAGTGAGATGACAGTGAATATTTTTTTCCACAAATATCCCATTCTGATATGATTTTTTTTATCTGACACTACTGTTGTGCTCTATGCTTATTCAGTTTCCATGTCCCTATCATAAGGGGAAGGGAGAGTTCCAAAGATATCTGTCCCAGAAGCCCAAGTGCAGTGTGCTCTGGTCTCTGAGCAGCTGTAGCGTAGTCTCACTTTACACCCAGAGGACTAATCAGGTTAAAGGGCCCATGCCAAGAATTCCACGGCTCTGGATCCTGGCACAGCTCTAATTAACAGGAATTATGGTATAAACATACACTATACATTTCCTGTAGGAAATGAGTAGAGGTTTATGATCAAAGGAACATTTTTTGTTCAGATCAGTAACACTTGTCCTGTCATAAGGTCACTTTTTTCAGTGGATTGTGAGACAAACTTTGAATAATATTTTGCCAACAGTTTAAGTACCTTTTGCAGTGCTGCCACTTGCTGTTGCAGACCTTCACATTTCCGACTTGATTCTTCAGCTAAAGCTCTTTGCTTCTCAACTTGAGTCTGTTGGACACTTGTAGTCCTCTGCAATCTTGTCTTTTCCTCCTCCAAGTCCTTCAGTTTACTGCTTAAAGTACTGGTTTCATCATCCTTCAAGACACGCAAAATACATTTTGAGCAAGAGTGACTTGAACTGACTGAATAGATTAACTAACCTTGAACACGTCTCAACCTTCTTACCTTCTTGTTGCATTCACATGCGAGTCTGTTCAATTCTTCCTGCATTACTCGAAGTTTAGCCTTCAAAAATCTGATTTGAGCTTCTGTAATTATACAAAATAAATGTATAAGCAATAATGCAAATAGTATACCAGCGCAGCAGATTCAATATTTCAATGTATTTGTCCTTTTTAACCCACCTGCACCCATCTCATCTCCAGCACTGGGCATGATATCATCCTGCAAGTGTTCCTCAGTGAGATCATCACTAACTTTGCCCTCAATTATGCTGATTGTTTTAGCAAGTGAGAAATCCCCAAAGTCTTCAGGAATAGCAACGTCATCAACCACAGTCTGTGGTGCTTTTCTATAATTGGAAGAAACTGTTGATACTACCTAAACATCTTCATCGCAAATATATAAACATAACAAATAAAGGCCAAAATTCATTAGATTTGATCACACCTTACATAAATGTGACCCTGGACCACAAAACCAGTCATAAGGGTCAATTTTTTAGTTTATTATTATTATTTTATGTACACATTTCTTTGAATACAAGTTTTGAGAATACACTTACTGGGGATTCTTTCTATTTCCCGATCCTGGCTTGTTTGGCTTTGAAGATTTTGCAGAATAGTTCTTGTTTCTCATGATCTACATAACACAGCAGAAATGTTTCTGTAACTAATGGGGTCTTGTATTTAATACACATTTCCACTGATTCATATGATATTTGTTTGAGTTGTACCATTGTAGGGGGCTGCTTAGACGTGGATTCTCTTTTTGTATCTGCCTTCCTGTTAAGACAGACAAAGCGTTATGCTGGCAGACAGCAAAAGATGTTGCTAATGCTTATGTCAAACAGTGTGAGGACCATTACCTAGAAACTTCAAAATCACAGTCAGTATCAATGGAGATGTGGGAGGAGATTGGTTTGGAGAGCACCTCATTTTGATCCCTCTGAAAAAATATTATCGAAAACATAGTGTTAGCATCTGGGTTTGTTGCAACATCACACATATCACATTCTATAAACTATACAAATAAAAGTTAGATTAAAAACACAGCCCGTGTTCTCTCAAATGTTTCTTATCAGAATCTAATGTGTTGTTCTTCTAGTCTTACCATAACTTTCTCTGCTTCCCTAACAAGTTCTGCTGTTTTTGCTTCTAGCTCTGCATTGAGACGCCTGAGGAGCATCGGAATTGCAAGAAGTTAGATATTAAACATACTGCCATGTGATCTTCCATCCTAAATTCTTTACAGCACCTGTTATGCAGTCAATAGATATAAGCTAAATACAAAGCAGCGTAGATAAACTAATGTGCATTTAAGTAATAAATCCATAAATACTTGTATTCTTCTTCTTTGGCTAGGAGGTCCATGTGTGGTGGTTTCTTTGAAGGAGCGGAGGAAGACCTGCTCTGAGGTCTGGCTCTTGAAGGCCTTTCTGAGTAAGACGTTTGAGGCTTTTTTAACTGATTGGAAAGAAAGTACAAGTATTATAGCCGTTATTAATCCTTCTCTGTCCTCGAAATTACTTTCCCGTTTCTTACGCATTTTGATAATTTAAGACAGCTATTGTTCTGTTAGGGATATTCAATTTTATGTCTGATTCAGAACGAGCAACGAAAGAACTCTATATTGAGATTTCACGAAAATTATTTGATTTAACACACAACAGAGTACTTTAGGCGAAATTGTAATTAATACGGTATAACTTGAAAAGACTTACAGCAGGTAGCGCGGGTCTGGGTGTGCTGTCTGCCATGTTCGTTTGTTAGTGGAGAGACGCCGTTGCTAAGCAACAAGGACACTTTCATGTCAGATGCAGTTCAGTGAGGCGATTGTACCAAAGACTATAGAATACTGATTGTACGCAAGATATGTATGATTGTACGTATACACACTTGATTCTTTTAATTCCCGAATTTTTTAATGTATTAAATTTTTTTAATATATATTTTAATATATATATAAATAAAAATAAAACAATATAAAAATAATAGAGAATGCAAGTGTTATAGGATATTTTGTATAATAAAATAGAATCAGGAATCAGGGTCAAGTGTTTTTTAAAAAGAAAAAGAAAACAAATAGTTAAAATAGAATTAGAATAGAGTGCTAGAGTTAGAAGGCCAAATGAAGGTTAATTAATTTATTAATTAATTTTACTATTTTTTATTATTTTCATTAATTCTTAATTAATTGACGTTAAAGTAAATCAAAGGTAAAATCAGTATGTTGTGTATTTCAGGCCATTCATTATTTTTTAATATTAACTCTAAAATATATCAAGGGCATTCCAGCACAACCTCCAAGATGAACACTAAACGTAACTGATAAAAAAAAAAAAAACTAACAACTTAATATGGTGGGAATCTTGTAAAACAATGAGAAGGATATTATCAATCCTTACTGACAGCCAGTTATGCTTCAGACATGAGTGACTGATTATACTCCGTGTGGGTTTCCGCTGCTGCGCAGTGCGCATGCGCAGTCCCAGCAGCATCAGTTCCCCAGTGGTCGCCAGAGCGAGAGGAGGTAGTGTCTGACTCTGTCTGAACCTGCAGCAGCTCCAAGTGTTTCCCTGCTCCTGAGGCTAGTGACCTCAACTGCAACCGCAAGCCATGAATTACCAACGTGATCTATTAGAGTCGAGTCCGATTTGTCCGTGAAGTCAACATGCGGTGATCGTGATGTACTATTTACGGAGGAAAGCTGCATTCTCCAGGTTCAGGTTAAGGCCTACTTGTTAGATCCCCATCCTCGTCTCAACAGAGTCGCATCGTGATGGCTGATGACCAGCAGCAGTCTGGAGCTGGAGCAGTACCTTTACCTTCCGCGGTTCAAGGAATGCAAGGGGCTGAGGCGAATGCGTTGCAGCTAAAAATAAAGAACTCGATCTGGTAAGCGCTGTGCGAAATATTGCCCAGTAAGTGAGTGCTGCTGGATATGTGTGGGTTAATGGAATTGAAGGCTCTCCATCCTAATGAGCTCTATTCTAGATTGTCCTTCGTTTCCACTTGACAGTGTGTCACGATTAGAGTAACTCTCTGTATTCAACTAATTTCACAGTTTCTTTCATTATTATAACAACGATAAGTCAACTTATTAAAGTTGCTTGCTTTGGACACCGACATTTTGGGCTGACCAGATTATGCATGTGTGAGGTGGGTAACTCGCCCTGACTGTCATGAACAGTGTAGTCGTTATGTATAGAGCTGTTTTTGTCTTCTTATGAAAGTGTACAGAAAGTGAAATGTCTGTGTCTGTGCGAAAGATTTCCCGCGACCACGCGTTCGCAACAGATTTAGTGGGCGCGCTCTTGAGGTGGTAAACAACTCGCGTGCTGCAGCCGGGTACAGCGTTTAAACGGCCAATGTGCAAAGGCATGCTTTCCTCAGACACCACTGCATCCCACAGACCTATGCTGCTCTTCTTCATCTTTTAGTTTGTTTTGCGGTTATCCAAATCGTGTTTTAATTCACCGAGTAAGCGCTTAGTTAGTGCTATTAATGATGAAGACGTCGTGAAGCATGCAACCATGGCTCATGATGTTTATAGCGTAGCAGCGCATGCGTTAAACATGCATTTGTATATTGTGAAGACAATGTATAGCTTCTGTGTGCATGGTCACTCAAGCCTTGTCTTGGGTCAGTAGGTTTACCTGGAATTGATCATTGTTGGTGCACATTGCTTTTGGCAGCGAAAATAAAAAAACCGCTGACACGATAATTTTGCAGCCTCCATCCCCCTCACCACCACCCTTGTTTTTGCATGTTGAGACATGCTCTCAACGACATGCATCTGTATCAGCGGCTGTGCTGTACTTCCAGTATGGGACGTAGATTTGTTTAGCCTCACGTGTATTTACTGTGTGTGTGTGTGTGTGTATATATATATATATTTATATATGTACACACATACATAGATACATACGTGCAGAGTTGCATACATATATGGCAGCATTTATTATTGGTGTTTCTGCTGAGCATTTGTAATTATGAAGGCCCAGTTGTTTTCAGCATACATAAGAAATTTGTATTAAAAACTTCAGTTTCACAGGGCTTCCAAGGTCGTCGAAAAAATGGAAATATTCGTGAAAATTAAAATATTTTGAAATGTTTCGCAAGCTACAAAGTACTGTATGTGTCCTTATCCAGTTCTTATAAGGAACTAGAAAAAGATTATGCAAATTAATTTGTAAAAAGATGTAGGAACCCTTTATGTAGCATATTCCTCATTATTATGTTGTTTATTGAATTATCCATAAATCAGTTCATACAGCTAATCAGTGGAGTGATGAAACCATGTTGACATTTTGACCTCAAATGTAATTTCCTGGGAAGCTTTAAGTAGACTGTTTTAGGAGGACAAATAAATAACAATTAATCCAATCATTAAGTAACAGTGTTTACTTTTTGAATGCAGTTTTGTCTCGATATAGCTGCTCTTAATGGGCTAGAGTAGACTGTTCAGTGGTACTATTGGAATAGATTCTTGTATACAAAATTGATAGTTATTTTACCAGTTAATTTCAGTTAACCAAAACCCACACAAAATATGTTACAATATCAGTTTTATTTCCAGGTCCTGGCCTTTACAGATAATCCATTTCACTCTTTATGTTGGCTTTTTAGCAGTAAAATAATTATTTTACTGTGATCTGTATAACAGTGGATTTGATAATTACCGGTTTACTTTTCTAATCACAACATTGGCATACCAATACCAATTTTTTTTTTTTACATGTTGTGATTGTTATTATTGATTTAAGTTGCTGTATTTCTCTCCGTTGTGAATTTGACTGAAGTCTGGAATTTTAACTTGAAGTTGTGCATCATTCACACTCAAATTCTGCTGTTTATTATAGTTCTAAGTACTATTGAATGGATTCACCATTTGAGCAGACACGCATATGATGAGTGGACTGTCTCAGCCTGTGCTCCTTGCCCTTCACTCTGAGAAGAGCTCTAAAGGTTAGGTCTTTCGATGTGATAGCTGATACCCCGCATCTGCATTTGGCATGCTGGTTGGCACATGGGACGGTCTCTGTGGAAAAGAACCGGGTATTTGGCACTGGTGCTGGCAAACCTTGTGGAAAAGAGATTGTGATTTGCCAATAGTAAAGTTTGTCACTAATGGGAATATCGTGTAATTTATACATTGATGTTGGAGATAGGGATGCACGATAGTGGATTTTTGCCGATATTTTCAACTCATTTTGGCCGATACCGATATATTTCCTTTTGTTTGGAAACAACACAAAGTCTCTCCAGTGCAGAAATTATAAGCAAAATATTTTTAATTTTGAAGTTCGTTTTTAACAAGAACTTATTTGTTAGATTTAAATAAACAATACTTAAGTTTTTTTGACAGTATAATGAAGCTTTGAAAATAACTATAAATAAACTATATATCAATCGCTGCATTTTTTCCCCAGAAAGATGCAGTGTTAACCCTAACATTTTATTTTAAGATTTAACATTTGTCGATGGTCTAAAGCAAAAGGGTTGTAAAAATTCTCAAAATCTTTTAGAGCTTATGATTTGTTTAAAAAATAAAACATATTACACATTAGGGCTGTGCAATTTGGGGGAAAATATCAAATTGCGATTTTTTTTGACAGATACTGCGATTGCGATTTGATTTGCGATTTTAAATTTGCAAAGTCAAGCTTCAGCTCAATATTGTCAATAATGTGCAGCACAGTATGGGTGCTTTGGACTTTGAACCCTGGCGCCGTGAGCTCATGCAGCACTGTCAGAATACATACAATTCGTGCGTGCATTAGAAAATATAACATTCTGCAGTTTACTTCATGCCTCTATTTGATCGCGTCACGTCATTCTTCAGTACATATTATTCGGCCTTTTCGCTTATTTAACTTTAGTTAAAATTTCTCAATGGTAGTGTAAAACAGTGTTTCCCAACCTTTTTTTAGTCGCGGCACCCTTTGGAAATTTTAACAAACTTGTGGCACCCTACAAAATTTATTTTGTCACAATATTTGAATTTCTAACTTCAATGTGATAATTTGAAAGCATAGATATTCGGTACAACAGGGAAGAACTGCAGAATATAATGTCATACAGATATTTTTAATATTAAAAATTGTCCATCAATGGTGGCAATCAGAAGGCTAATTTCTGATGAAGAGACCAATTTATATGACAGATTTTAATGTAGGCTTTTATACATGTGTAAACATTATTTAATTACCATTATAACTAGCTATCTCACAAATTTTTGCTCACTC